GATATATTGAAAAACTGTGCCTTTTAGTGCCCTATTTGCCTCTTCATGCTTCTAGCTTAAACTTCTCTTTTCCAAATATTATAATTCCTTTGCTTTTCTTGCATTTGCATGGGAGTTTATTTAGCTCAGCATTTTAATTTTTAAATGTGTGTATATATTTTGCTATATATCTGTAACTTATAAACACCAAATTCTTGGATTTGATTTTCTGATTCTTTCTGTAATTCTTTTCCTTCTTGTGTAAGAAGTTCTGTCATTAACATTATTGTTTAGAGTAAGGTAGAAATTTGCATTTTAACATTTTAGTATCTGTTCATTCCTTTAACCCACAAAGGCCATGGCTCATTCATGCGTGGAGTAGCATTTTGGGGTAGACTAGAAGTCTGCCATTGGGCGTACCTGCTCCTTGCCTTCATCAGTGCCAGACTCTGTCTGAAGCCCACTCTTCAAGTCACGGGCTCTATTTCCAGTGTCCTTGGCTGCAATGTGGGGGAATGATGCCACCTCATAGCCTCGTGGAGCCCAGAGGACTAAGGAAAACAAACCTGCATGGCAAACAGCGGGCACAGATGATGACTCTACTATTAGTATTTCGAATATTGGATTTTCTGTTCTTGCTCCTCAAGTTCTTTGAACATAAAACATTACATTGTGCTTTACGTTTTAGAGAATCCTACCAGATGTAGCAAAGAATTAAGTAGACATCACAGATGCATCCCGCCCTCCCAGAGTGAACCCACAGTCACTTGAAGAGAGGTGGGGACCCTGGTCTCATAACCCCCTTCCCCACCACCTGTCTGTCCCAGGTTGGCTCCACCTCAACCTTCCCCTTCCTCCCTTAACCCCCTCCTGTGGTGGGGGAAGGGCACAACTGCAGAGGCTCAGAAGATGGCCCCTTATGGCCACTCCTGTTACAGTGGGGAAGCTGAGGCCAGTGACTTACCAAAAGTGCGATGTAGTGTCAGACCCCCCCGGCAGTCGTGGGGAAGAACATGTCTGGATGCTACGCTGGAGCCCCAGCCAGTTGCTGCCAGGGTTTATCAGAGGTGGCAGGTGGGTTTAGACATCTCGGGCCAAGGTGAAAACCAAATTGCCTCAATCTGTTCAGAGTTGCCCAACTCTTGGGGATAATTGGACATTCGCAAACATCACACAAAATGGATATATTTACTAGAATGCTGATGCCTCGATTTACTGGGGTGGGGAAAGAGAACCCCTTTTCTTATGGGAGAACCCCATCTTCAGTATCTGATAACCCAGAAACCAAGGTGGGTGTGAAATTGGTGTGTCTCTCTCACATTGATCTTTCTCTCCTTCCCTCTCTCTCTCTAAAAATCAATAGGAAAAATATCCTCAGGTGAGGATTACCAAAAAACCAAGACTGATTCTGCTAGAGTGTCCTGGACCCCTTGGGGGGTCCGGCCTGACGGAGTGAAAGGGAGGGGGCGAGGGTGGGCAGGAGCTGAGCTGGGCATGGAGGGAGCAGGGCATCCCAGGGGGCGAGGGCCGGAACAGAGGGCATCTGCACCCAGACAGGAGTGAGAGCTTATCTGGCGGTCACCGGCCATGGCCAGCTCCGTCCGACCAGGAGGGAGGGACATAATGGGCTGGAGGAGGAACTGGGGAAGGAGAGGGCAGAGGGACTGAATGGTGACCGGACTCCTTGTGTCCTGGTCAGGTTCCTGGGAGGTGCCCCAGGAAACTCCTGCTGGGCACAAAGGGTTCTCCCACCCACCCCGAGAACCAGGGAAAGCCACAGGTTAAATACGAGACTAGAAACGAATGAGCAGAGAGCATGGGTTCTGATTGACAAGAAGAACGTTTTGAGAATTGATTGGGTTCAGGGAGCGGGGCTGGGGATGACTCAGGTGGAAGGGGAGACCTCCCAGAGGTCCCAAGGCTCCGCCCCCGAGGGTGGGGGGCTCAGGGCCCTAGGAACACTCCGTGGGGACCACGGTCTTCTCCACGGTGCCGCCCTCGTGCGTGACCTGGCAGCTGAAGCTGCCGCCAGATTTCCACTTGTCGGGCGTCAGGCTCAGGTAGCTGCTGGCCGCGTACTTGTTGTTGCTCTGCTTGGAGGGCTTGGTGGTCTCCACGCCCTGGGTGACGGGGGTGCCATTTGCCTTCCAGGCCACCGTCACGCTGCCCGGGTAGAAGTCACTGATGAGACACACCAGCGTGGCCTTGTTGGTGTGGAGCTCCTCAGGGGAGGGCGGGAACAGAGTGACCGAGGGTGCGGACGCGGGCTGACCTGTGTGGACAGAGAAGGGGTGTGAGACGCAGAGGGGGGCGGGTGTTGGTGCAGCCCCCCTACTGATCTGCATCCTCTGTGACCCGTCCATTGTGGCCATGTTTGTTCCCCCAGGGGACCCTCCTTCCTTCTTTGTCTCCTCCTTTCCTCTCAGCCCCTGGACAGCAGGCAGTCCCCACCCGTCCAGAAGCCCTTCCAAGTCACCTCCCGGTGATCTGGTCAAGCCCCTCCACCTGTAGCCTCAGTTTCCCCGAGTGTAAGCGGGGCAGGCTGACCTCCCTCCTCCAGTCTCGGAGTCTGAGTGTGGGGTCTGGCTCCGAACTCCCGAGCCCTCAGCCCAGCGTCAGGCCCCACCTCACTTCATCCTTCTGGAGCCCCAGGCCTCTGCGATCTGGGCTCCCCCAACCGGCCTGATGGTGTGTGGGGAGGCCCAAGCCTGAGCCCCGCACACAGAGGGG